AGAGAGAGAGAGAGAGAGAGAGAGAGACAAGTGTCATTTTTTTCCCTCGATCGTAAACTGTTTGTAAGACTGAATTCTAAGCAACCTTAGGGAGATGGTTAAGGAGAACGATTCCTACGTTTCCGATGGCGTAAGTAAGTCGACCGAAATCCGCGTTAATCCCGCGAGGACCCCTGATCGAAATCTGTCCTTCGATGTTACTCGAATACTCTCACGGACATCCGTCTTCCACGTAGTACAAAGCTGCAACTTAACGTGTTGTCTCTCGTTACCCGTGAAAAGTAGATAATTTAAAAAAAAAGGAAAATAGAAGAGATAGAAGAAAAGGAAAAAAACGAAACCAATGATTCGAGAGAAACAGATAAGATAACCTGTCGCGAAGTCCTGTCTCAAACACATCTCGATATCAATTTTCTATATCGTTATTAAGTAAATGCCCTCGTTGAGATCTTTTCCCCGACTGGACTGCGAAGGAACAGATAATGAAACGTCCGACGTCACGGGCCACAGTCCGTACAAAGTGCACGCAGTCTGTTCTCGCGATTCCATCCGGCAACGTCTGGCGATCGATCGATCGCATTTCGAGGAAACGGACACTTCGAGAGTCGAGCGTGCAAGCAGCCAAGTCCAAGTCCAACTCGAATCACATGGAAATTACGAAGCTTCTGAACGGTTCCTCGCAGGGCGTTGCACGTTTCAGCCACGAATCTAAATTGAAAATATCGGTTGTAGAGAGAAAGTAGATGAGAATGAGAGATAGAGAGAGAGAGAGAGAGCACCGAATCGATGGTTCGTGCGTTATTTCCCCCCCCCCCAAAAAAAAAATCCAAACCAAAGATGAGTACGTTTATAAAAGAGGAGAGGAAATTCACGAGATATCGATAAACGGTGATAATAATGCAAATGCATGGTCCTGTAGATTCCCATAGATTTGTCGCGAGAGTAGAGAAAAAAGAAAGAAAATGTCCAAATAAATAGAGGCAAAAAGATAACGTTCAAGGAAGGAACAGAGTACAATGGCGAATCATATCATTAAGCCTTAATCCGTCGAGTGTGCTGTCCAATCTCCGAGTGATTAAAAGAAAACGAAAGAAGAAGAAGAAGAAGAAAAAAGAAAGAAAAAAAACAATGAAAAGATGCAAAGAATCGCGATCGACCGCAATCTTGAAAGAATAAACCGAGACTACGACCTGTTCGAGTGTGTCTCGCACAAATGTGTTTCGCACATTTTCTGCTCAACAAAAGAACGGTCCCCCGAGGAGAGACCGGACAGAGTGAGAGAAAGAGAGAGAGAGAGTGTGTCAAATCGATCCGTCGAGAGTGTGAATCAAGTCGAATCATGTCCAATCGATCGGCGTGCGATACTATTGTTCTGCGAGAATGCACGTGTGTGCTTGTTTTTCCGCGTGTTGCGTGGATGCGATGTGTGCGTGTGTCCTTTGGGAACAACTCGACGAGAAAAGGATGGTCGAAAGAGCGGAAGAGAGAGAGAGAGAGAGAGAGAGAGAGAGAAAGAGGAAAGCGTGAAACGTT